AATTTAGCTTCGGTTCGTTTCATAGACTGCTATAAACACCTTTTCACTACTTTGTTTAGTACTGGTTTTATTCTTCGTTTTTGTGAGGATCATTGTTTCAACTCGTAAAACCGTGTCATACAGTGGACATTTATAACTGTTTCATACTCTGTACACTGTTATAAGTCCCATTACTATACTTTATTGTGGTTGAAATAAAGTTACGTCTACGTGGGTTTGTTTGTCTGACCACGTAAAATGTTTTTAAATAGACCAGAACCTATCTATCTAACACATAATTCCTGCATGAAAGTGCAGCTTAAATGCCGTGCGTGAAAATGATAAGATAAGGAAAATTAAAGCGAAAGGCATGAAAACTACTACAAATGTTTGGCGGATCGCGGCAAGTATGATTATTATTATCATCCGGTTTTAAAAATCTAGTTTTGTGTGTAGAATCACAATTGCACCAGAGTATAGTCACGTGCTGATTCCTTACACCGTGATTAGTTGTCATTCAAGCAATCAGAAAGTGTCATATTTTTATAAAACATATGGAAACTTCAAGCAGTCATACCAAGCCCATTAGTAGGAGTGGTGTAATGTAGTCACAACTCCCAGGATTGAAATATCAACCACATGACAAGAGCATGCACGTACGCAGGGGGTGTTCGAACTCCCTATTTTTGTGATGTAAAAAAATACTTACACTAAGTTCATGTTCATGTGAACGTTCGGCATCTGCTCTCCGCAAACTGAAGAAAGAGTGGATGCTCTAGCTTTAACACAATCTTTATGACACTGCTATTAACATTGAAACTAATATAAGTTATCTATGAAAAAGCACCCCTGAAGAATAAAGCACGTTAACATGTTATTTTAGTAGTGCACACATGTACGTATATGATAGCCAATGACTGACATAGCTAATATACTATTGTTGTACTGGGTTGTTTAAATTAGTAATACAATTTAACAATTAATAACTACTCTGTATATAGATAGTACAGTACTTTATTATAATAAAACACACATATTTATGCTAATTTAAGTCTAGTTCCCCATGCAGTGCTATAACAGAATGATGATTTGTTGACTTTTCATTGGATGTTTATGGATTTTCTATGAACAGTCAAACAATTGTTTAAGTTATATTTCATACAAAATTGCTTCCATATTTAATCTCATAGTACTTATTTTTTCACAAATTTTCTGGGGGTCATGACCCCAGATTCATGTAGCATTAGTATGCTTTGTATGCTGATTGTGCTTCGCATAATATGTGTTGGCTTTTGATCTCGCAAATTAGAACCCCCCTTTTCAAACATTCAGCGTACAGGCCTGAAGAGTGTAGAAATAAAAATTACGGATGGTCACGGAAATTCCATGCGAAAAATTACAGCAAAACTCTATGTTTCAGTAGGAGTTATAATAGAAAAACCAGGGGGTGCATAAAACTAGCAATACTAATCATAGAAGCAGTTGAGGTAGAAACTGTAAACCCTCCAGTTATCTCAGGTTACCTTTAGAAGGTATAAAGCAAGTGATTATGTGTACCATGCGAACGACTTTGCTGTAAATATATCTGTGAATGCTTCCCCGAGAGCAGTAATATAAATATTAACACGAAAACCTCTCCTGAGAAGAAGTAACAAAACCAAAAAGGTTGAAATGGGCATCAGATTACAAACCCTGGAATACGCAAAGATGAGGACGTGCGCTCTATATAGATGAATTCAAATTCGAATTGTTCGAAGGAGGAATAACGTCTACAATGAAGAGTGGTGGGGGATTCGTACAAAGTTAGGGCTTCATCTTAGCTGATGACACCCTGATTGGTGACAAATACAGGCTTATTTTGATGAACCATGCCATTCCTTCAGGAACACGACTCATCTTTCAGTAAGACAGTCATCTCAAGCATATAACAAATGTGGTGAAACGATATCTTAAGGTAAAGGGGCCGTTGGAACCCTCACAACCATGATTTGGTTTACACAAACTACCTGTATGAATATTCTTGAAACTGTATTGGCTTATGTAAAACTAAGAAGGTTAAAAGGCGACTGAATAACTTGGCTGAATTGTATGGGAATAGTACAGGACATTTGAAACAACATTCCACAATCGTACATTGATCAACTGTGTGAAACAAGGGTTAATGCTCACTGTGAAATTTAGGGTTCGCATAATACTAGTGTATTGTGCAACGTATATGCATTTCTTTTATATTTCATGTAATAATGTTTTGTACTATAGTGACCAATACTCGTTGTTTGTGTGTTTCCATAATGATTTCCATTTCTGTAAGTCTAGAAAAAATGTTAATAACTTCGTGTTATTTTAATTTTCCATAGTTGGACATAGTTGCAATGACACTGACGACAGTTATTATGATAATTAAGTCATAAGTCATTTCTTATTAGAAGATATGATCAGTATCAAGATATTAATGATGGCGACGAAAGTACAAACTTCTGATAAAACAAAAATTAAGACGTAAAACATTGAAAGTAAAGACAGCTTACATTTAGCAAAAAAGTAAAAATATAACCTTTAGCAAACAAAATATTAGACTTAGTGTCAATTATTAAAATCGTTTGAGCTCCTCTTCGAAGCAATATATAGAGACCGATTAACATCAATATGGCTGTAAAACAGCATCAAATATACATCCACAATGTATAGAGATGAATTAAGATCAATTTGGCTTTCAAACAACATCAAATGAATATCTTCATTATATAGGGATCATATAAGATTACTCTGGCTTTAAAACAGCATCAAATATACATCCACAATGTATAGAGATGAATTAAGATCAATTTGGCTTTAAAACAACATTAAATGAATATCCTCATTATATAGGGATCATATAAGATTACTCTGGCTTTAAAACAGCATCAAATATACATCCACAATGTATAGAGATGAATTAAGATTATTTTGGCTTTAAAACAACATCAAATGAATATCCACATTATGTAGAGGCCAATTAAGATCACTTTGACTTAAAAACAGCATTAAATGAACATTCACCAGCTATTCCATACTTTTTTTAAAAGAAAAAATAACTTTACATAGCTACCTATTAAAAACCTGTGACAGATTATTGCTTTACATAGAATAGCCAATGACACAAATTTGTTTATCATGAAAAAATACGCTCCTCGGAGTCAATTAATTTTCTAATATCATTCAACAGGGTCGAAATAGAAATGCAGACGACTTTAGCAGTCACTGAACACATCTTCCAACACAACATAAGTGGTGGTATCACCAGTAGAAGGTCGGCTACGTTGGATGATTTCGTAGAAGTGACCATGTTTGTAACCTTTTACATAGATGAGACATTATTTTTGCGGGATATTATGGTCCATGATGTATGTATATATGTTTGTGTGTGTGTGTCTATATATACGTGTGTGGGTGGGTGTATGTGTGTGCATGTAACGTTTATTATTTAACGAAATGTAAAATCAAGGAAATATCTACTTACCGCCCAACGTCCAATGTAAACTGACAAATTTTTGTGTTGAAAGTCAGAAATCAGAGACCACTCAATGAATCAATGTTTCTTGAGTAGCACGTAAATTTACACGAGGACTATCTGTGCTAGCCGTCCTTAATTTTGAGGTGTTAAAGTGTAGGCAACTAGCCAACAATACCCACCGCCAACTCTTAGGCTACTCTTGTTAGACCGAATATCGGGATTTGATTGTTTCAAGTAGATAAAAATCTCAAAAAACTTGAAATAATTTAACTCAGCTCCGAAAAAAAAAATTAAAATATTTATTGTATTCTTAATAATTTCATCAAAATTTAGTCTAATGCTAAAACGCAAACACAGTATTATTTACAATACATTATCAGTGCCGAACATGGTTACACGTGATTAACGTGCCCGTTGAATGTTTGATAAATAAATTTTTATATCATGTAAATAAACAGAGCAGAAAATCACTAACCTCACAGTCTATAGAAATATAAGTTCACAGCATTGCACACAAATAAATAACAGTTTAATTTGATTTTGTCAAATTTTCCTAGATACAGGGTTGTCCATATCTGTTTTATTTGGAAAAATGTCAAAGATACAGGCTTATTCATATCATTCTGTCTCCCGGTTCACGAAATTAGAAATTTATATCTAAATTCACAACGTTAGAATCTGGGGTTCGATTCCCTGTGGTAGATTGATTTGGTTTGTTTTGAATTTCCTGCAAAACTACATAAAGGCTATCTGCGCTAACCATCCCTAATTTAGCAGTGGAAGACTAGAGGGAAGACAGCTAGTCATTACCACCCACCGTCAACCCTTGGGCTACCCTTTTACAAACGAATAATGGGATTGGCCGTAACATTATAACTCCCCCACAGCTGAAAGGGCGAGCATGTTTGGTGGGACGGGTACTCGACCCCGCGACCCGCAGATTGCGAGTCGAGCGCCCAAACCAACAGGCCATGTCGGGCCCCCTACGGTAGATGGAACGCAAACTTGCCCTAAAACAAACAAAAAACGTATCTCTCTCAAAGTGCCTCTCCCTCTAGATTTATATCTCTAGTCGTGGCATGAGAACACTTTCCATAAAGAAACACTAAAAACGCATAGTTTCAATCACGTTGGCTGTTGCTGTACCTCGTTAGTATTCCAGCGGTGCCGTTGGCAAGAGAAATGGTCCACTTTAGGAATGGTTTCCAAGCTGAAAGGTAACTTCGGTCGGCCTCGATCTGCTGTTGAGAAAATAAGTAATAATTATGTTTTCAACTCTTCAGCTCGCGATAGTCACTCAACAGAAAATAAGAGTTAAGTAAGTTTTATCAGAAAAAATAGGTAATATTATCGTTTAAATTGAATTTTTTAAAGTTACACAAAACATGTCTATATTTTTGTGGTATTATAATCTAAAACTTTTATTTATTTATTAATCAAATGCTACAAAATTTCGTCCTTAAACCACTATACTAGCATTAGTAAAATTAACCTATTATAAACTGTACTTAAATACAGATGATATAACAACGTTTCTAGTTGAAGGAATATTCCTATAAAGAGTAGGATGACCATAAATATGAAATAAAATTATTTACTTTATCAAAACATTTAATATAAATAGAACCATTTGAAATTTTAGTATCTTGATATAATTAATGAACCTTAAAACTCGAAATTAGTGTTTTATTATATATTACACATTTTAATGCTGTAAGCATGATTACCCATTTCAGGACTATTTACGCTAGTCATATCATTATTATACTCACAAGTTAACTCGAACTGAAAATACCAGTATTTCAGGTACTTTCAACAATCTTAATTTAATCTAAATAAAGTCACAAATTAAACACATGTAGAATAATTTGTTCCCATGGAGACTCAAACAACTTGTTTATAAACCTTATGCTTAGAAATAATGAAATTGTTGGGAATACGTAGACTAACTAAATGTTTAATATTTACAGGATTAAATATTATTATTAAATAATTTAATAGATGATCCAGTAAAGTGACCTACAAATAGAGTTAATACACAAACAAGATCATTCAAAGGAGTTTTTGTATATAAAGTAGTCAAATCATAGCTGAGCAGTCTTAACTATATCAGCAAGATTTAAGACTCCAGAGTTATAATTATTATTATTACCTAAAAACTAAAACTTATTACTATTAATACCTTTTCTTTCTTTGATTTTACCAACCAACAGATTATATAGTTTATTTATCAGAATTGCAAGTTATTTCATCACAGTTTTCAAGAAACTACTAATAAATCTACATTTTATAGAGTGTTTATGTAATTTGGGTATAATATACATATAAAAGTAACTCAAGATTAGAATTTCATTCAGGAATCAAATTTACTTAGAACTTACTTGAATAATACTATTTTTTTATTTCTATTAATTAATAGAAAAGTATTGGTGGACTTAATTTTATCAACAATAATTTGTTTTACGAGTAAGTGCTATTATAACTATGATTTGCTATACTTGTTTTTTATATTAAACGGATAAATGAATGATTAATCTTACACTCTGATAAATTAATGTAATAAAGTTTATATCTAATTTTATTAAAAATGAAAAAAAGTATTTTCTAAAAACTATCTAAGTAGCCAGTATCATAATTAAATGAAATAATATTATAATTTAAAGTTTTTCAACTGATTTAAGAAGCTCTTGTTTATGACATTTATATTAATATTCTGCATTTAGATATTTTGAGACTTCTATATAAATCACGTTTTTAATCCATAATAATAAAAGGGCGTGTCTGTGGGTTTGTGTGTATGTGTATGTGACCGCCATAGCTCCAAGAGGAAAGAACCTAGAAACCTGAAATTTTGCACCCATACTAAGTGAACCCTGAGAGTGTGCACCTGGGTATTACTTATCTTATCCACATGCGTGCGCATCTTTTTAATGAACCAAGCTAGCAAGTGGCGTGGGTAGTGAATGCTTTCTCAGAAAGATGGCTCTGTTCTTTTTCTCTACGTAATTATCAACTCTCCCAGTCTCATAATGATTTTTTCCAGATTTCTTATAGAATTGGCAGGTCCTCATCTGACTTAGAGAGATATTAACAGTCAGAGTATAATCATGCATACTCCCCAGTTGGTTCATGTTTTTATCGCAAATAAAAATTACGTTTTACTATATTTTTACAACTTGATCAGTGGTTTTCGTGAACGTAATCAAAGTCGGAAATTCAAATTTAACTCTACATAACATTTTCTGTCGGTTCTCTTGTCATTGTGGTTCTATTCTTACTTGTAAAGTAAGAATACCAAAGGAGCCATTGTGGAATCGGAAATCCTTATCTGCTTTTTGTATTACTTTATTTTGAATTGATTTCTTATAGAGTTTGTGAGGTTTGGCGAGTAGAGGTAAAATATGATGTACGACTTATCTCTATAACACTGTGGGTCCGATTTCAACAGATACCACTAAACATGAGGATACATCTCATAATGTCCTGTAGCTTGAAGGTGTTAAAGCACTTAAAAATGTAAAAACAAATGTGCAATATGTATGATTGTACTAATTTAACATTATCAATGTCGGTCTGTTTAAGACGTTGTCGAAATAGACACATTTCTACAGATATTTCATATTTGTTTAATACAGTTATATTTATTAAAATAAAACTTTTCAGAATAATCGTATTACAAAACTGAAGTATTAATTTTCATGTTCATAAAAAGATTATTTAGCAATTTAAATAACAATTTGTGCAAAAGAGACTTATTTGACCTAAATTAGGTGAAAAACATAACAACTACACATCAATATCACCAACAGTTACTGTAAACTACAAATCAATATCACCAACAGTTACTGTAAACTACACATCAATAGCACCAACAGTTACTATAAACTACACATCAATATCACCAACAGTTACTGTAATCCATGTAATCAAACGTGGGAACACGTGATTCTTGTAAATCCCTCCCAGTGACACAGCGGTGTGTCTGCGGACTTACAAAGCTAGAAACCGGGATTCGATACCCGTGGTGGGCAGAGCACAGATAGCCCATTGTGTAGCTTTGTGCTTAACTACAAACAAACAAATAATCCATATAAATGACTTCACATGTTCATCTTGTAGAATAATCACAATAGCTACTCCAAGAGCATAACGATAACTCAGCATTATAGAAATCACCAATCAAATGATTTTGAATATGATTGTTTTGTTGTTAAGCACAGTGCTACACAGCAGATTATTTTTAACGTTATAAGCCCTGGGGCTTACCGGGGTTTTATATATGACCAAACAATACCTATCACTTGCTACGTACTGCATACGTATACATAAATAGTATAAAAAATAAAAGCTTGATGATGATCGGTGTGAATATATTCCTCTATACTCTTTTTTGCCTTATACTCCACTGGTTTGGTTTGTTTTGAATTTTGTGCAAGCTAGACGAGAGCTATCTGCGCTAGCCGTCCCTAATTTAACAGTGAAGACAAGTAGTCAACACTACCAACTCTTGGGCTACTCTTTTACCAACGAATAGTGGGATTTGACCGTCATATTATAACGACATTGTTAGAAACTATTCTAGGGTTTCATTGTTGGTAAAACACAAATATTTACACGGTTGAAATAAACAATAAAGTAGTTGACGAAGAGACTTTGGCACATGACACATTGTTAGAGACTATTCAAGGGTTTCAATGTTGGGAAGACAAGTTGAAATTCTGGGGCACCTGTATCGCATGTCACTTGTCATTTAGTAAAATAATTCATCAGACATATGCATGTACACACGTCTGCTCTTTCCACTGATTAACATTCGTTAGCTTTGTACTTTTTTATGATAATGACTGTAGTTTGGAGACCCTTTGATGAACGATAGGGGGAAACAAATGTCCCCTCTCCTAGCTAGTGCGTCCCCGCACATTGTATAGTGAAATGCACCATTAAAAGTTAAGGTGAAAGCTTGCGATGGTTGACCACATCAAACACATACTTGATAAAAGTCAAATTCCGTGATAACTACCATGACTAGGGTTACGAGACGTCCCAGTAAAACTAGGATCGTCCCAGTTTTTAGCCTTATTTTTTGTCCTGATCAGAAACAGTAAAAATATTAAATTGTGCCAGTTTCTCTGTACCTCAGTGTAAGTTTAAAATGTATAGTTTTTCGTGATACACGGCTCTTTTAATTTTACTTGGAAAGTTATCTGAAAAAGACAGATCACACGGTACAGTGTTCCATCTCTCTCTCTCTACTAAATTTTCTGAACTTAACCTGTTAGTGGGTAGCTGCAGGAATTGAGATTCAAAGAATTGCCCAGCCGTTAAAAAACACACGAAGAATCAACTTTTTTAGTAGGTTCAAGACAACTAAGAAACTTTATTTATTTATTATTTGTAATTAAATAACTTTAAAAATAGTTTGTGATTCTAAAACGCGATGCAATACACATCAGATTATTTAGCAAATGGTAAAAAGTGTGTTATTGTAATTTAAACTGTTTCAAAGCTGTTACAGTGTCACTCCATATGTAAAAAAAAGTTCCATGTTTGCACTCTGGAAATCAGGTAATCCAGAGAAGTAACATATGACGATTAATTAAAATAAGAGTGAAGATTTAAATACAGGCAACGGAAAACTGATAATATGTAATGTTTTTAAATGAATCCACAACACATGAATCAACACAGAATGTGTAACACATTCCTGTATTTACCGAACTGTAGAAAATAACATGTATGATGTTAGAGTTCAGCCGCTTCGGTATCAAATCACCCAACTCGGCAAATGACGCAGCGAGTTTTCAATTTTCGTTAGCTCTAGTCTAGACCAGTGCACTGGTATCACGCTCGACTGCACGTTACACTTGAGGTGGCTAAACTACGTCTTATCTGTTTCCAACATATACTGCTGCAAGATATATAGTAAATTCTTTGGAGCGATGCGATGAAAGTCTTCATAAACAACCTCATGCAATTGTGAGGATTTATCTTTGTATATGATGTATTGACAGACAACTAGTGTCGGACTGTGAAACAAGATGTTAACAAATAACCTTCTACGTCTATCAGAAACCTTACACTCGCCTACAGGAAACTACAAGGTACTGATTTGTTTTTCCAGTTTTTGGTACATGAGAGAATGAACCCGTTCATCTTTAATTCCGAATAATTGGTTTTTGGTGTTTCATGACGTAAAGCACCAAGGCTATCTGTACCTAATTCCGAATAAAAACTCATCAACACTTTTCTTTTCTTGAACCTACATTTTTCTAAAAATATTAAAATCAAGTCTTCGTAAAACAGGATTTCGTCTTACACGAGTTAAAAAAGGACAAACAGTCAGTTTTGTTAGGATTGTGCTAATAGAAGGGTAAATGAAAAAAAAAAATCGATAACAATGTTATTCTAGTCTCGACACAGATTACGTCTTTTAGTAAAGTGAAACCCAGTTACGTAAGATAGTGCATATGAACGCTGATCTTCGTATTATGGAGTGTATCTAATTATTAGTTCATGGAGTGCATTAGTACAAAATCACAGTATTAAAAAAATCACAAATACGTTCTTTAAACATTCTGTGGTGCACATATTAACATAAGTATTTCTTCTGATAGAAATAAATACATTATAAAATAAAGTACAATAGTTACAGAACCTTGAATATGGGGGAAATTGCGATTACTATGTTTTTAAGCATAAAGCTACAAATGGGCTATTTGTACTGTGCGGAAGGCGACACACGAATTTCAGTGTTATAAACTCAGAGACTTTCCGCTAAGCGACTAGGGGGCTTGCTATTACTAGTTCAGGTATATCGCCTTTTGGTAATTTCTTGTGAATCAAATAATCGAACATTCTAGAGATTGGGTTCTTAATTCTTTTTTTGACAATAATAGCTTCCGAAAATCATATCACATTAACGATTAAAAAAGGCATTTGATTTTGACCAAAGGTGAATAAAAATACCCAATCAACAATCTCGCACACGCTTCAATCAACTGCGAGAAAAACACCCGATTATGTACACGCTTCAATCAACTGCGAGAAAAACTCAATCATGTACATACTTAAATCAATTGCGATATATGACAAACAATTACAATTGACGAACGTGATGGAACTAATAAAAATCCAACTCGCTAGATTTCTTCAATACAAGAAACATTGCAGCAACGTAAAAAGTACATAAAAATAATAATTATAATGTGTAAATCTATTGAAAAATATACACATATTCAGTTGTTTCCTCTTTAAGAAACCTTTTTTTAGAATGCTTTTCTCAGCTCTAATAGTACACATAGAAACACAAGCTGAGGCACCCGTCATACGTCCGGAACATAAGGGTTGAATGTAGGGTTTGGACTAATAAATTAAATCAATAATTTGTATTTACATGCATAATTGATTTCACACACAATTTACTTTATAACTATTTTATTTTACATCTACTTTAGTCACACCTGCTTATTCTATTCCACATTACAGAAATGATGTTAAAATTACTTTAATATATTACTTTTACTAATCACTCTCTACAGCCTCAGTGTTTGTTGATACTCTGAGTGGTTTTTGATGGACCACTTTATAAGTTCTTCCTCATTCCCTTTATGTAGCTTTGTGCTTAACTACAAACAAACAAACTTCCTCATTCCTGGGCCAAAATAAATAGATTTCTTGGTGATTCTACTCTTGAACACTCAACATAGAACTGACTGTCAAAAGCAACGGGTTTTCAGATGTAGCCTTGTCACTGACTTTGTGCTTTGGTTGCCATTTTACCTGTCAAAAATGTGAATGTTTGATATTTTTAGCGAATGAACTCACAATGTTCTAAAAATAACAAAAAAAAGACCTTCAAGAAAAAACACAAAATAAAAAGTTTTAGACCAAGACTGTGGAGTCATTAGCTAAACAAGCATATTATTTACTGTGGACGAGGTCCAGGTAGGTGGAGCCGGGTAATAACCACCCTATGACATGCCCCTTGATCCTATGTATCATCCTACCAATTTTGGTTGAAATTGGTCCAAAGACCACAGAGTACTTCGCGGACAGACCAACCAACAGACAAATATTTCTACTTTTATAAGTATAGATATATTAGCAACTAAAAGGTTTAAAGTTGTAGTAACTAACATACTCAAGTGGTTCAAATAACTGCTGGAACCAATTCTTGGAGTTTATCACAATACTTACTATCAACCATCGGTACACACGTGGTAAAATAGACTCCTCCGCTCTTCTCCCACTCCTCAAAAACTGGAGTCATTGTTTTGTGCCCACCCTTATCTAACACGGTTGTTTTACTGGAATATAACAGGACATTTTGGAAACTTCAATGGATTATCATTAACTTTAGTGTTAATAGTATTTTCAGTTTGAACAATACCTTATGCGATGAAAGGACTAAATTAGGTGTAGGCATAGAGCAGAAGGAGGGGAACTAGTGTATTTTTATTACCAGATAACAATTTTTGCCTGTCACAGTTATAAGATCCCTTACCACCGACGAAGAGCCATTCCCGCCTAATGCCAATGGACCAAATAATTTACCTTTTCTCAATAATTAATTCAAATGTACAATTATCGTAGAATAGTGGTTAATTCTAAAAACTAGCATACCAGAAATAAGCTTTAACAACTTCTGATATAAAAAAAGCCGCATTATGGTACTAGAAGCTCCCCTCCCCAGTGACTCAGCTGTAAGTCCCTGGACATATGACTCTAGAAATCGGATTTCGATACATCACAAATAGCCCATTGTGCTTAACAACAACAACAAATGGTACTAAAAATAAATAAGTACAATCAATACTACTGATCAGGGGTGGAATCGGTATAACTCAGTGACAAGTGCTGAATGGAAGGATAGATTGGGCTTCATATTTATTTTTACTATCTTAAAAAGGTGAATAATCGGTAAGAACAAATTATTAGTTCAAATGTTACGTATTCTTCAAATGCTAAATAAATATAGGAACAGTGGGGTGATTAAGCCTACAATGGTATTTCTTAAACTGTACCTTGTCGTTCTGTGGTATGAGTTCCGTAGGCGGTGCCAGGAGATATTTAAACGTCAATAATTCGTTACTAAGCTGGAAGTGAATAAACGAAGATCGGATGATTTTTTTCTTTTTCGTTTACTAGAGCACAACCGTCTTAACAAAACAACAAGAACTTAACCAAAAGCTGTTCTTTCTCTCGAGAATCAGCTTCTAACCCTAAGCGAAAACCTAGAGGTACTGCGCGAACAATCTGTCAAATCTTTAAATAGAATAAACGATATAAACATATGTGATCAATGGAAATTATTTTTTGGATTTTAATTCTCCACTACACCTTAAGACATAATAACTTCAATAACGGCAAAATATTACGCGTATCTATCTATATATATATAGAGAGAAACACCAAACAAACACGATTGGAAATAGGACACATTTATAGCATTCTTGATAAAAAAAAACAGTTTCTACTTATTAAATAAACTAAGTGATTGCTAACGTTCTTATGAGCTTCTTACTTTTAATACAATAATGCGCAATCTAGAATTTACGACTGTCTCACAGAAAAGAAATCGATTAACGTTCATGTTGAATACTATCAACAAATCTTTTCTATTCAACACAAAACTGTAGGCAAGAAAATCCAATCAAGATATAATATTTCTTAATACTAATAAAATGCCTTTAATAAATAAATATATATATATATACGAAAGCAAGAGTCTAATATGCGTATCTAGAAAACTTGATGGAAATAGGTGGAGGATCCGAATAAGTCTTCTCTAAAAATAACTAGTCTTTTCAATAAGGTTACTCAGTATATACACACAACTTTTAGCTCTTTTTTTGCTGTAACTAAACGTCTGTGCACATATCTTCCATAACTTAGAATGTAATGTTTTATATAAGCACAACGGCGCCGTATGTCTTAGCGTTGACGTCAACATTTCAATTTCACAACACATTAGAAGTTCAAAACGAAATTGTCAAATTCGACGCAATCGATTTGGAAAAGAAACCGTAGTACAATAGGGTCTTTTTTTTTTGAAAATGTACGTGATTAAGATTTTTTCAATGTCTGAGACCTTTCTTTCAGCAATGACCGATGTGATGATAAAGTATGATTATTTATCAACATTTTTTCCATCCTTAATTTAAAAATAATTCTGACATTCGGTTATTTAATACAGAAAAAAAAATTATTATTTCACAGCTGCGATTAAAAATAGCTCACATTTAGATATACCCCAACAAAACTAGTACCGATTCTCCCCCCTCCTCCTCTCTTTTTTTATAAAGCTTCTGAGTCTTTTATCTTTCTTACGATTAAATATAAATTTGTATATGTATTTATGTTTAGAAACTAGGTTTTTGAAATTTGTTAGTGTAACCTCGGGTCACCTTAAAAATTCACATTAACTTCCTAGCATCACACAATGTTGTGACTACTTAATTTCCAAGATTTCACTATTTGGCCTTTTGAACATAAGCTTAATGTATTTTCGTGAACATTTCAAAACCAGCATGCAGAAATTAAGGCTTAAAGTTTTAAATGTAGAATACTAGTTCCTCCATCTGGTGAAACAGTGAATTCTAATCTTTACAAGTAGATACGTAAAAAAAGTATATTTAATTAGCTATACTGTTGGCAAGGTTGATTTTTAGTTTAGCCACATAGCTTATTCTGATCGTAATTTATTATTTTCTACCCTCAGTAGCTAATGCCACCTTTCCTTTTTTTTCACCAATTTTATATAGTAGAGATAGCCGCAGTCTATACGAACAATGTCCCAAGTCTCATGTTTCCTTTGGTGATCAATCAGATGGAATAATTATCTGTTTCCACTGAAACATCTTCTGTGATCAAACTGATGGTATAATTATCTGTTTCCACTGAAACATCTTCTGTGATCAATCTGATGGTATAATTATCTGTTTCCACTTTAACATCTTCTGTGATCAATCTGATGGTATAATTATCTGTTTCCACTGGAACATCTTCTGTGATCAATCTGATGGTATAATTATCTGTTTCCACTGGAACATCTTTTGTATAAATGGTTTTACCTTTCAAGGCGATGTTCAAGTTGAACAAAGACACAAAACCACTGGATTTGTATCTGGTAACTTGAAAGTTATAAAGTCGAATGAAGTTATGATACAGTCTATTTGTCTGTCTTTTCAAAACATACAAACATTTTTTCGAGGAACGGCTTGTCAACTTCCGACTTCTGATCGCTCATCAACTTCAAGTCTTTATTTATTATTTTACTTACAGATATGTAATGTATTGATGAGTCATGTTTTTGTGAGGATAAGGGCGTTGCTTCGGATTGGTTTGGGGTGTGGTTTTGGTACCCCCTCGTTGTCCCAAACGCTCTGCTGTACGAGTATAAATGCTTTGTTGTATCGAAACTTATATTTCAAAAAACAGTCAGCTTGTATTTAATATGATGTGAATATGACTAAGAATACATATTATAAACATCCACTTTTCAAAAAATAAAGCGATATGTAAAAAAAATCATTCGAAAATTAGCAAACAATGACATATGAACTATTTAATAGTTGATAATATTAAGTATTTCTATTCTATTAATATGTATATTACATTATAATAGTTTGTTCTGATGAATATAGAAAGTTAACGTTTAATGAAATGTTTCTAATAATAGCACTAATATGCATTAATTGGTATAATAATTACTTTTAATTACAGATTAAGTACGTAGTACAACAGGAAAGTGTGTTAGGAATGTAAGCATGGCATATACGCTGTGTAAGTCTGGTTGTAGTTAAGCACAAAGCTGCACAATGAGCTATCTGGGTATTGAAACGCGAATTTTAGCGTCATAAGCCTTCCCGCTGAGCTACTGAGGGGCATGGTGTAAGTTTTATAGCATAAACAAAGCAAAATGACTGTTTTCAATTTATTCAAATCTGATTTAACACGAGAAATATGTTCTTTTGTATACAGTAAGACTACCATGGTAACGTAGCGTTGAGAAAGAATAAAAAAGACTGGAAATGTACGGCGTAATCAAACAGTACGTGTAAAGTAAAAGGGGGGAATACGATATAACAGAGATAGATTATTCTGTGTAGTGTTTCTCTGAAAAGCAAAGCAAAAATACTTGTTAGAGTTTTCTACAGACTTTCTGATTGCGTTGCCAGTAGTGACAAGGATATATATATAAAGAGAGATAAATTGTGCTGTTCGTAGAAACAAGCTTACTGTTATGGGAGACGTCAATTTTAGGAATATTGACCGGGAAAAATAGTTTCATCACACAAAATTCTAGAATTTTTTTCGGTGTATAAAAGAGCCAATTATTAAATATTGGTGATCATAATATTGCTATTAATGTTTATATGAAAAACAGATGTACAGTCAATTTGTGTTGAAAGCCCGATTTCTGGAAACTTGCAGATTTTCAGATTTACAAGCTATGCCAATAGAGAAAAATTGGAAGACTGAATAAAATAAGAAAATTTTAATGAGCCTTGGAAATCTTTCTAGAATAAAAAATGGTTAAAAGTTTAAGTTAACGAGCGTCTATTATGAATTGGATTAAGCGGGAAATAAGCGGCCAATGGGCGTAAAACTCTAGCGAATATAAGATTAACAAGTGAAGATTAGTGAGGTTTTTCAGGTAAACAGAAAAAAAAAGGAGACCAAGAAATTATCAATAGCTTCTTATTAAAGCAAGCTATCTACATATATTAAACCTAACCTAATAAATAATGGAGTTAAGTTTAATATATCTGTCTACCTTTTTTAGAGTTGTAAGTTCAGAAACGTACCGCTGACCTATCGATGTATATGAATGTCTAACTAGGTGAACTCAACGTTATAAAAAATGCAAACTTATAATGATTAGAATATACTGAATCGTAAGGTTGTTATATTTACTGTTATTGATATTTTCGGCCGTAATCCCAATAACATCTCACAAGGCTCGTCCAGCTTAGGAGATTTAGGCTGTCCCAAATCCATATACTGTTAACAATGTTATATAATCCTCACAATACTAAAGTATAGAAAACATACGAAAATACTAAAAATAAATATACCATTTTATACTAAACATTTTAAACAATACTGTTAATAAAACTGGCTTTGAAGAAAGAATGAATTTGTTTTGTTGTCGGATGTTCGTGCAAAGCTATCCAAGAACTCTTTGCGCTAACCGTCCTTAATTTTGAATAGACAGACTACAGGGCAGACAGCTAATCAACAGTACCCATCATCAACTCTTAATCT